CTATTTGAAATAATTTTTTAAATATTTCAATAATTTAAATAAATATAATTCAATAAATATAATTTTAAATATAAATATTTATATACATTTTATTCTATACCTGAGAAGTCTGTGTTGTTGTTTCATAAGGATTATGAATGGTTGTATCTATTTCAACAAACTCCCATGACACTGAAGCATATAGAGGATCTCTTTTATAAATATTCTTTGATGATGTGATAATATTGTTTAAGAGTTTTATAGCATAAGTCATAGAAGCTTTCCTTGCATAAGAAATTGTATCAATACCTAAAATGTCCAATTAATATATTTATTTTAATTAATTAATTTTATTATTAATGTTTACTATTTGTATACTATTACAAAATGTTTACTAGTTTACATTATTTAAGTAATATAATTTTAATGTATAAATTAAATAAAATCTTTAAGGCTTTCAAGGTGACTTCTTATAATCTACATGAAATTATATGATAATTACATTAGGAAATATGCTTTAAAATGCTAGAATTTCTTACTGTATAAGGTAAGAAATTCTAGCCTTTTGAGATTTATTTCCTAATGTAATTACTACATAATTTTGTATAGATTGAATCTACATGAAATAATAAAACTGCTCCAAAAGTGCTAAATAAAGAGCAATAGTAATGATTTCCAAAGTTTGAATCTAATTTATTTCCAAAATCTAATTGTCAGAGGAATTTGTACCATGTTTAATTCATTTTTTTCTGATACAAATTTAGAATAAATAAGTTATCTGGTCTAAATATTAATCATTTAAACATAAATGCTTTATCACTCAAATTCAATTTCTTGCTCATTTGTTGTTAAAAAAGTATAATATTAAATAGAATAAAATAAAACATAATATACTCATATAATACAACATGAGAAAAATATATTGCAATTGTTATGCTAATTACAATAAAAAAATTGTAAATTGCGATGAACAGCATCTCTGCAGATAGATATGTCTGTCTATATTCATTGTAAATTATAAGTCAAAGCATACATCTTAATTAATAAACTTTATTTTTAATTTGATAACAAAGTTTGTTAAGATTTTTTCAATTTACATGATTGTTAGTTAAAAACTCATTAGCACTAAGTTTTTTCATTTTTGGGCTGCAATTTGAAAAAATTGTAGACCCTACAAATTCCCACTGTTGTCCATCCATCCATCTTTCCTTAATCTTGAGAATGGAATTAGATAGATGAAATCTGAAACCAAATATGGAAACTGTAGGGACAGGAAGCCCTGATTAACTATATATGAACTTCCAATACAAACAAAAAGTCTCATTATTTTCAATTCAAAAATTTTTCCATGAAAGGTGTTAGATAAATGACCAGAATGGCTCTATTATTAAAGGAAAAGTATGATGTACAGGGGCAAGAACACTACAGATTTACTAATTTGAGGTGGAGAGAATATATTTTAAACTAAATAAATTAACAATATGATTAAAAATTACAGCCCAGCATTCTGACAATGTCACAATAAATAATTGCTTGTTAAGTATAATTTTTTAAAGAAAAATAAACAACTTGCAATGTTACGATTACGAATAGCTTTTTTTTTATCTAGTTTATTTTGAAGGATAAAATCTTCCAAAATTATTTAATTATAATTTCATAAATTTAGTAAAGCTACACTTGATTTTCATTTCATTTATTATTATATTACTCTTATTAATATTTTCTAGATTTATGATATTACTTTAATAAATTATTTATTTTTAAGCTAACTGTTAATGTACATGTTCAACAATTTGCTTTCCAGGAGATCAAGATGAAAAAAAAATTCCAATTAAACTCTACTACTTTTAGACCCTTGATACCTAGTTAATACCCAAGAATGGGCTAGAAAGCTCATTCTCAGGGGAATCAATGTAGCAAGAAAGGCTGAAATTAGCATGCTTTAATAGTGTGTTGTCGTTTAGAAAGTAGTATAGCTGTACATATTTGAGGAATTTGGAGAAATTGAATTTTGTTAATCTAATGCTCATTAATTACATATATTTTTTAAATTACATTTAAATAGGTGTATAATCTGATCANCATGTTTTTTAATCAATAATAATTGCTACTTTTACTACAATATTTTTCTATTATTTTAACTTACCGATAACAAAATCTCTTCAATTTATTTTATCTAAATGAAAAATTTTTCAATAGTTAAATATATAGAATAGTGCAAAAGATATATCTCATTCAATGTGATACATTAATTTCAGAAATATGTAAACAATAATAATTTGAGTACTTTTGGGACTAACATTATTCTGTTTGTAATTGATATGATGTAATATATTCCATATTGTGCACTAATGCAACCTAGGGTGAGACCAATGAGACCAGGGCACCACCAAAAAATTTTCTTTAATGTTCCAAAATGGAATATATTTTTCTTTTAATTATAGATTTAGATTACAAAATGCACTACCATAATTTCTTGCCTATAATGCACAAATTGTTTTAAAAATATTTCCAACTTTGCTGGTGCAGATCATAGGCCATAGAACATAATCTGAGACAATTTTTCTCCAAAGTCAAAACATTGCTCTAAAATAATTTTAATTTTTGTTACCTAAATTAAGAAGTCATTTTAACATGATAAAACATGAAAAATTATCTTGTTGTTTACATTTCAGGCAGACACAGAAGACAAAGATGCCAATGACAAACAGTAGCTGATTCCAAAGAATCCAAAAGAGGATGCTAATTCAAAAATTAAAAATATCTGAATAATTAATAAATATCTTTCATTAATTAAATTAACATGTGTGTAATAATTATATTGTTGATGATCCAATAAACTATATTTGCCATCATAAATGTTTTCAAGTTCAAATAAATAAATTATATACACTTTTTTCACAACGGGAAGGACTTAAGCCACCACACCCCTTATATCCACCGACCTAATCATTTCTTCTTTTGAATGAAATAAAATTATTTTTATGTCCCTCAGCCTTCTAATAAACATCTTCAAATCTAATTTTGTTTAAAATATGTTTTGAGTTTAGCTTTAGAAATTTTAGTTCAGATAATAACAATTATCATCATCTGACCCTAACACTTCAACCAAAAAGACTGAAAATATTCATGACATAATAAGACTCATCTTCATTGTTGATGTACATAAAATGTTATAGTGACAAATACAGAAAGATTTTATAAAAATACAAGTTAATCATGATATTTTATTGATATAAAGACTCAAAAAATATCATGAAGACAACCAAGTTCAAAGAAATCAAAAACCATCCTGAAGAAGTATTACAATCTTTACATAAAATCAATTTTATTTTTTATTGTTAATTTTAATTTATATAATTTATTATTAATTCACCTTAAATTTATTATAAATTTGAGATTAGAATTACAATCTCAGACCAAAGCAGCTTCATAAAAAGTTAGTTTTGTTTTTGAGTTTTGAGCACTAAAGGCATGAATCTGAGTTGAAGGTAAAATATGAATAAATATATGAGTTATTGATATATAGTGTGTGTGTTTATTTCCCAATACAATATAACATTTAATTGCTATGCTATGCCATTAATAAATACAACTGATGTTTAGATTCAAAAATAATTTTTTTGTCATAAATTTCAGCAGTCTGACTACATTTTATAATTTTGGATTTTAAATTTTTATTGTACCATTTTAAAGTAGATTGTTTAATTTTTTCCTAGACTTGGAAATATTTCTTTTTTAATTATAAAATGTCCTTACAAATTGCATCAATTCATTGCTAATACATCAAGAAAGCAAATGAATGAGAACATAAACTTGCAAAAATTATATGACAAACTTTTCTTGTCAACAGAAAAATTATCAATGGACTATAGACAAAAACTTATAATCATTATATTTCAAAAAAGAAAAAATAATACAAATTAATATGAAATAATCAAAAAATTTCTGTTAATATTCAATTTATTTTAATGTATTAAAAGCAAAATATACACATATGTTCGTATGTATGAAAGCAAGTTCTCACCAAAAATACTTCTGAATGTGCTGATGGTATCATGGATAAAAATTTATTTATAAAAACAAATAAACAAACGTTAATATGTGTATATCTATTTTTGCAGTTTGCTATATATGTTTCCTAACTCTTATTGATAAGCTGTCTAATTAAATGAACTTAAAGAAATGATTTCTAAATTATGATTCAAATGTAAAATACCTCAACAATCTTTCCAAGAGTCAATATAAATTCAGAAATGAGAATATGTCCACATATAAAAATGTGAAGACTCTGTGAAGGTGTTCATGGCCTAATATCATGTTATGATAGCATAACCAACATTCTTTTAGAAAATTCAGACCATTCGGAATGCCAAGGAGTCAGTGACATATGTAGAGTGGTTTGTCAACTTAGACAAAGATACCAATTCTATGGGAAACCATTTTATTAAAGGAATGAATTCTTACAATTTTCCATGGGTTCCCTGATTTATATAACAGTCACTTTTTAAACTGACCCCCCCATAGGAAGAATAAGCCCTGGACAAAAGTCTATAATGTGAGCAGCCAACATGGATAGCATTGAAAGGAAGATGGATGCTTCACTGAAGTTCTGGACGGATTAATATCCAGATCTTATGCCAAACTTCAATTTGCAGTATGACATCAGGCATCAAGAAAGTCTGCGACAACGTGAGTTCAGATTTCCTTGGTGATCTGAAGTTATGCCTTGTAACATCCGATGTTGCCAAGAGAGAAAATATAGGGTGTTAGAGTTGAACATTTGCCAGTACATCTCCAGGAAGAGACATGGACCTTTGTGGGAGACTATGGAGGATGATTGAATGCAATACATTTAGAAAAGAACCTGTCAAAATAACAACAAAAAGTAAAACTTTGAGAAAAAGGACCTTGTGTCCTTGAGACACAGGCTTGTATCTGTTTGTCACTCAATCAACCATCTGAATTGATCTTGATCCCTCATCCATAATTTTGATTAGGCTATACCTGTTTTCAAGCATAAATCAAGACCAGCCAGGCAAAGAGGTCAAGCATCGATGTTTAATATGACACTGAATTCTGATCCCAACTGAAAATGGTTAATCTTAGAACTTACATTGTTTATTTGTTCTTGTACAACAAAGTCCAATTTGAAGTATTTTATTGTCTCTTTCTCACTCTAGTTTTCTATATAAAAAATAAGTTTTGACCAATTTAGTAGGGATCAAACCGAGCCAAGTCTCACAAAAATCATCAAAAATTTATTCCAATATACATTGACAAACATGACCTAAATGCAGAGCCAGTTTAAGGCTATTGCAACAATTGCAGTTGCAGGGGGTCCTGTCAAGACCTCTTCCATAAACATTATTAAATAATGAACAGACTGAAAATAATTTTCTTTTAGTCTGCACTTTGATTGTAATATCTATACGTATTGATTTCAAATTTCCAGTCTACATAGTTCTTTCTTTGGTCATATATGTATACTGTACAGTATATACTATGAACTGACTTAATGTACAAAGTACAATTTATTTCCCAAGATAAACATGGGAGGCCACAAAATCAAACTTCACAGGGAACCCCCAAAATTCCTTTAGCTGGCCCTGTCTGAATATTGAAAATTAAAGAGTCACTAACTGTTTAGTCATTAAAAATAAGAAAAAAATTCAATTTTTAAAATTTTAGAATATATATATATATATATATATATAAAATACAGAAGATACAAAATGTCTTTATTTCCATCCTTTCCAAAGTAACACTAGGAAGTAACAGTCTTCGTTAGTAGAGACAACCTTTTATTGTTGACTATGACTCTGCCACAATATTCAAAACAATATTCAAAACAATGTAAAATGTTCGCTTATGATAAGCCACAAGAAAACTTGTAAAAATTGTATACTTAACTTTTAAATGAAGTATACAATTTTTACAAAAATTTCCTGGTGTTTTCAACCCATCCAAATTTGTTCCTGATTCCCCAGAGTGGTAGGCTGAGACCTTCTCAACCATCTAGCTTTAAAATATAACCATCAAAATCGTACAGATATATTGAACATAAATATATTTATTATTATTATTATGAATGTATAAATACTTTTGCAGATTTGGTACTCCGTGTATATATTTCTGCTTGAAGATCTTGAAATTTTTTAAGTTTTTCAGATTGTAATTTAACTCTTTTAAAATTTTTAATATTTTCTTGTATGTCAGCTTCTTGGCATTTTGGGCACTGTCTTGAAAGTATATAAATTTGCGTATTTATTGGTAACTCAGTTATCTGGAAAAATTATACATTGAATAAGATAAATATTCATGATTCATGACATGCACTTATTTAGTTTAATTTAAATTTATTTAAATTTTTAAAATAAATATCTCATAAAATAATTTTTGTCAAGAAACTGCAATAAAAAGTTTCTTTAGAAAACAACCATATAAAGTCCTATTTGAGATTAACAATTAATAAAATATATTTTTAAATGTTTGTGGATCTAAAGACTTATCTTCAAGAATAAAATCATTGAATATAAAATACTGGTATACATACTGGCATTGCTTGGGAAAATTTAATATTGAACCTTTACATATCATAAAAAAATTTTTTAAAAGACAATTTACTGTGATAACCGCGCGGTGAATTGAAGTGTTATATTTTCCATTTTTTCGCGAACAAAACAATGATTAACAAACTCTTTCTTGTTAATTTACAAACTATTCTTTAATTCGCTATATGTTTTCAGGTTCTTTGTACATTACATTGGATCCCAACATGTAGGTGGTGAGGATACAAAATCTGAGATACATAAAACAACTCGATATATATATATATTTTTTTTATATTAGTGCCTATATCTATAATTAATCTACTTACAAACTATTGATATAAGAAGGAAAGAGAGAGAAAATATAAGGATAGAATAAGAGGAAGATGGAAATACCCGGGTTTTACTGTGGATGCTCCATGATACTGAGCGGGGTTACTGTCATCTCTAATCATCTTCTCCTATCACGGAGGCTTTCCTTAGTTCTTTCTTCTCCTTCTTTAATGGATCTCACCCGTTCTCCTTGTCAATAATCCACTTTCTTCAATATTGTCGGTGTCGAGTTCGTCCAATAAAACTGGCAATCCAGCAGGAAGTTCTTGACTCCTTTAACGGGCTGGATAGCTTCTTCTCCTCGACCTTCCTCGTTGAGTTTCACTTTTCTTCTCTGTTCTGATTCAGAGCTCGATCCCCTCAACCTTTTCCGTCGAGAGCCCAGATCCCTTCCTTTTTTTTTTATTACTTTGTTTTTCTCCTCTTCTTTTCATTTTATAACGTTGTTTTTGACATCACTCCCCACCAGTAAAGTAATTAACAAATTAAGTCCCCCTTTTTTTTGTCAACAGGAAAAGAAAGAAACAAAGAAAACCTTAAGCCTAACCTACATTTACAGAATTATTAATTATAATATGGCCAATGGCCACATTACTTTAAAAAATAATTTAAGTATAAAGCAGATTGATGAACATTTTTACTGTTTAGGTTATGCAGTATTTCTGAAAATATTGCCATCATTAAATAGCCAATGAACTTAAAACTTGCTTGAAAATTTCTTATCGTTGGAGATATGTGCACAAGCTGGAGGTGGTTTTCAACTCCATAATGATTATCTGCTAGCTGTTTTGCTTAACAACTGCTCACTCTTAATGATGGAAAAGTACCAATTAATTTAAAAATTGGACTTATCGTGTGACATTACAAAAGTTAGATATCAGTTTGGAAACTTGATCTGGAAATTACTATCAACAATGTAATAATAATATAAAATAACACTTAAAAACCTCTATTTAAATGTCCAGTGCTTGTTCATAGTGTGATATTCACTGTGCTCTAATACTAAAGAAAGCCACAATTTTATTCATTAGATACATAAGCTGCTCTGTTGTAGACAGAGAATCAAATTTTTTTTGGACAAAACGTAGTTGTTGACTTCCTCCTGAATGAGAGGATGATTTTTGGAAAGTTTAGTTGCATTTGTTTGTACTTTTTTCAAATGCACATAGAACAGACAGACATACAAATGTTCTTTATATATATGGAAACATTTTTATAAGTGTAACAAAATTTATATTCCCAATTTCACCAATTAGCATACACAGTTATTTTGTAATTTATCTAAAGAATTGACAGATGCTGCAGTAATTAATAAAGAATTTCTAATTGATTGGTCTAACACAGGGATGTGAATCTACAATATGTGAAAGAATTTGTTTGACACAGCATGTTATAAGGTTTCATTTAATTTTTACTTTACAATATTCATAATAATAATTATTAAAATTATAAAAGAATAAAATACTGTAATAACTGTAGTATTCTAACTCTTCAATATAAAATATGATATTCCAAAATCAGTTCAACAAAGTCATTCTGATCAAGTACTGTACATGTAATATAAATGATTAAAATTACATTATTTAATTTCAATTCTGGTTTTGTATTTGGTTTTATCTTTTCAAATTTATCTAATTAAAATATATTTATTCCAAATTTTTTAACACAAACTTTTCAACATTTAATGTGCCTACTTCGGCATAAGGACTCAAAACATTTTGCCATTCCTATTCTAACAGTTTTAATAATTATTTTAATTAATTTATTTTAAATTATTTGCTCATTCAAATAATACAAAAATATTCTTTGCAATAAATAAAATTATTATTTAATATAAAATCAATAAACCTTGCAACAAGAAAATGTATATGCACACAGTATACAAAAAGTTAAATAGATTATTCTAAATTTAAAATATTCAACAGTTAATAAATAATTATAAAAAAAATTATAGTTAGTTGAAATATTAAAATTATAAATTAAAAATATATATATTTAAAAAACTTTACTTCATAACTAAGTAAATTTGCTTTTATTTAGCTTTATATAACTTTATATCTCATTATATATATATAAAAAATAAATTACTTTAAGATAAAAATATTTACATCATTTGCCTATTAAAACATTGTTATAAATTACTAATTGAAACAAACAAAATTCTTAATTAAAACTTTTATATTTGAAATAATTTTTTAAATATTTCAATAATTTAAATAAATATAATTCAATAAATATAATTTTAAATATAAATATTTATATACATTTTATTCTATACCTGAGAAGTCTGTGTTGTTGTTTCATAAGGATTATGAATGGTTGTATCTATTTCAACAAACTCCCATGACACTGAAGCATATAGAGGATCTCTTTTATAAATATTCTTTGATGATGTGATAATATTGTTTAAGAGTTTTATAGCATAAGTCATAGAAGCTTTCCTTGCATAAGAAATTGTATCAATACCTAAAATGTCCAATTAATATATTTATTTTAATTAATTAATTTTATTATTAATGTTTACTATTTGTATACTATTACAAAATGTTTACTAGTTTACATTATTTAAGTAATATAATTTTAATGTATAAATTAAATAAAATCTTTAAGGCTTTCAAGGTGACTTCTTATAATCTACATGAAATTATATGATAATTACATTAGGAAATATGCTTTAAAATGCTAGAATTTCTTACTGTATAAGGTAAGAAATTCTAGCCTTTTGAGATTTATTTCCTAATGTAATTACTACATAATTTTGTATAGATTGAATCTACATGAAATAATAAAACTGCTCCAAAAGTGCTAAATAAAGAGCAATAGTAATGATTTCCAAAGTTTGAATCTAATTTATTTCCAAAATCTAATTGTCAGAGGAATTTGTACCATGTTTAATTCATTTTTTTCTGATACAAATTTAGAATAAATAAGTTATCTGGTCTAAATATTAATCATTTAAACATAAATGCTTTATCACTCAAATTCAATTTCTTGCTCATTTGTTGTTAAAAAAGTATAATATTAAATAGAATAAAATAAAACATAATATACTCATATAATACAACATGAGAAAAATATATTGCAATTGTTATGCTAATTACAATAAAAAAATTGTAAATTGCGATGAACAGCATCTCTGCAGATAGATATGTCTGTCTATATTCATTGTAAATTATAAGTCAAAGCATACATCTTAATTAATAAACTTTATTTTTAATTTGATAACAAAGTTTGTTAAGATTTTTTCAATTTACATGATTGTTAGTTAAAAACTCATTAGCACTAAGTTTTTTCATTTTTGGGCTGCAATTTGAAAAAATTGTAGACCCTACAAATTCCCACTGTTGTCCATCCATCCATCTTTCCTTAATCTTGAGAATGGAATTAGATAGATGAAATCTGAAACCAAATATGGAAACTGTAGGGACAGGAAGCCCTGATTAACTATATATGAACTTCCAATACAAACAAAAAGTCTCATTATTTTCAATTCAAAAATTTTTCCATGAAAGGTGTTAGATAAATGACCAGAATGGCTCTATTATTAAAGGAAAAGTATGATGTACAGGGGCAAGAACACTACAGATTTACTAATTTGAGGTGGAGAGAATATATTTTAAACTAAATAAATTAACAATATGATTAAAAATTACAGCCCAGCATTCTGACAATGTCACAATAAATAATTGCTTGTTAAGTATAATTTTTTAAAGAAAAATAAACAACTTGCAATGTTACGATTACGAATAGCTTTTTTTTTATCTAGTTTATTTTGAAGGATAAAATCTTCCAAAATTATTTAATTATAATTTCATAAATTTAGTAAAGCTACACTTGATTTTCATTTCATTTATTATTATATTACTCTTATTAATATTTTCTAGATTTATGATATTACTTTAATAAATTATTTATTTTTAAGCTAACTGTTAATGTACATGTTCAACAATTTGCTTTCCAGGAGATCAAGATGAAAAAAAAATTCCAATTAAACTCTACTACTTTTAGACCCTTGATACCTAGTTAATACCCAAGAATGGGCTAGAAAGCTCATTCTCAGGGGAATCAATGTAGCAAGAAAGGCTGAAATTAGCATGCTTTAATAGTGTGTTGTCGTTTAGAAAGTAGTATAGCTGTACATATTTGAGGAATTTGGAGAAATTGAATTTTGTTAATCTAATGCTCATTAATTACATATATTTTTTAAATTACATTTAAATAGGTGTATAATCTGATCATTCATTTGTTATAAAAGAAAATAATATTTTATGTATAAATGTTTTAATAAAAATTACTTACCAATCAATGAAATTGAGAACTTTAAGCCAAAATAATTCAGAAATTGTGACAGTACAATTAAGAGAATTGTTTGTATCAAAATCTTTAAATGTGAAAAATATAATTAAATTATGTAAAATTCAAATTTATCAAAATTTTAAACAAATTTTACAAGAATGTAAAGAAACAAAAAAAATATGAAAAATTACAGATAATTTTATGAAAATCTTTGCCATAAAGTTATTTACAGATTATTTACAATTTATATTATATAAAGAAAGATTATTTGATTATAAAATTAAATTGCATTGTATTAAATTACATCCCTAAAATTAGATATTATAACATTATGTAGACATGAATTATTTAAAGTATGCATTTTCCACTTACGAATTTAAATAAATATTTGAATATAACATATTTATTTTGATAAATCTGTAACCTACCATGTTTTATAGATTCTAAAGCACCATTGAATCTAATGTGTACCCAAATTTTGAGGTATCAAAATCTGAAAAAAATTAGCTTGTGAATGTAATGTGCACTCTATATCAAAAGAGCAGCTGTAAAAGTTAATACATTTAAACAGTAATAAACATATTTTTGAAAGATGTTTTATTTTCATGTTTACTGTGCTTCACAATGTCCACATTTTCAAATGTATTCAAATATATTCATTTATGACTCTAGTATCAGGTACAGAGGATATGCAGACCAATACAAGTACAAAATCACAGTCAAAATTATTGTACAATGGATGTTTGAACAGCAAGATTTCATGTCAATATGCACAAGCATGAAATTTACAAGATAGTATCAGGGCTGCCTGAGCAAGACACGCATTTGATGCCCATTATCCCCCTACATAAAACAAAAAAAAATTTGTTTTAGAATGTCATACCTATTAGAAGTGGAAAGAAATTTTTGAATATTTTTAAATTTAAATTTTATTTAGGATAATTTAATTTCATATTTAATACAAATATACTTTATTACATATACATAGTAAATTATACAATGAAAAGGATTATCACATGCATGAAACTATGAAACTATTAATGCCCTATTTTTATATATATCCTAAAATGCATTTCAGACCCTGGTATTAATGGTCTTCATCAATTTGGTAAACATCTTTTAAACGTAAGGCAAAATTATCTTAAAAAATTTTTATTACAAGACTCACACATTTAGACCAATAAAATTATAAAAAATATATATAAATTATATAATTTTTATAATTTCACCTAACTAATGAGGGCCATTAACACCAGGGGCCAAAATGCATTTTAGGATAAATATAAGGTATTGATAGTTTCATGTGTGTGATAACCCTTTCATTGTATAATTTACTATGTATGTGTAATAAAGTATATTTGCATGAAATATTTTTAAAAAGGAATAAAAGGCTAATTGTTAAATTCTAAAGTTTAATTTCACTTACATTACTATGATAGTTTCACTGTTCATTATTTTCACTCACAAAAATTTATGAAAATTTGCTTCCCTGATAAAATGTCTAGTTTGCTCATGCAGTAGCAATGGCCCTGCATAATATCACACTGAAATACCTGTATGCATGTCTTTCAGCATAGTAGATAACTCTCTGCCCAAACACAGCTTTATATGAGATTTGTCTGCTGGACATCATTCACTCAGCTTGAAGTAGTTCAATAAAACAACCAAACCATTCCAAAACCAAAACCAATGTAATGGAGACCCACCAGTGGCCAAATTGTCTTCGTTTCCTGAACACTGGGAGTTCAATCGTGGGTTCATGCCTCGCTTGGACAGGCTGGCCACATGGAGTTTTATGGGATTTTTCCATGTCTGTAATGCCTAAATAAGGGCCAGTTTCTCTCCTGGAAGATCACCCAAGTGTTGCGCTGCCATAACTTAAACAAACAAACAAAACAAACAAAAGTAATGGGAAGGATGTATACCATGTCTATACTAACATTGTAATATACTTGAATTGCCAAGCAGAATGAAGAGCAAACGACAAATAAGGCTGCATTAAGTTCATTCTATGCCTGAGTCTAATGAACACTACTCCAATTTTGATACCCAAAAAGTCCAAAAAAAGGTGCATGTTAGAATCAAGAAAACATGTATTATTTGAATAGAAATAACAGCAAATATGTTGATAAGCATTTTTTCTTTATCTATATATCTTATTATCTATCTCCTTTCTTTTTAATAGATCAATATTCCGCTAGATTATTGGATATGTGTAAATATTAAATATTTTATAAGACTAGACTGAACAACCTTGATAAACTTAGCAGCATTTTATTTATAGCAGTATATTTACCATTTATTAACTATATGTAAGTTTAAAAAAAGTTATCATCATCATTACTGTTGTCTATTCTCTTATAATATCTTCTTTTCTAATAGCTGATTAATCAAATTAAAAATTATAATTACCTTATTGTAAATAACTTCATTGATGATTTTAAGTTCATTAAAATGCAATAGCAAAAAAATTGCTATAACATCATTGAATCGTGAAAATATAATAATACCACAAAACTGCCAGCTAAATCCATAACCAAGTTTTTGTAGAATCGGTTTCATTACAATAACAACAATTGATCTGTCAAAAAAAATTAGAAAAAATGTTATTTTAAATTTACACACAATAATATATAGTAAATATAGTACTGATTAAAATACCTGAGTATATAGAGGATTAAAACAGTCAATTAATGAATTGACAAACAATTGAATAACTTGCAATTGAACAAAGATAAAAAAAAAAAAAAAAAAACAGAAATTAGTTCAACAGCCAAAAGTTTTATATCTACAATCGGTAATAGCCAAGTGGATAAAATGCTAGGCATTGTATGTTCAACCATTCACAATTTTAATGGTTTTTTTTCTCTTAAGTATAACATAATAATTTTATTATTTTACCTTATCATTAACATTATTATTACTATTATCATTCCTCACAATTAAAGCTTATAAAACAAGATATTAAATATTATGATGTAATTTTCTGTTTAGCAAAAACAAGCATCTGTACATTTAATTCTTCTTCAAATTTATTTTCACGAATAAGTTTTACACATTACTGCACACAAACAAAAAAAACAAGTGATATGAAAATAGGGTAGCATAATCACAGCATTTTATTTTTTTGATTGTTAATATTATAGAAATTTCCTCATGCATTTATGTTTATTACACTTCAAATACCACAGTACCACCATATCTGAAAATATATATGAAGAATTAAAAATTTTATTTAACATCATAAACAAGTCTACAGAATCTACAGAAATCTACAAAGACTTCTTTTCATTAAATGGGAAATGATGTTACGATTTTTAATTTCTTGTTTTATAAGTTTTAAACATGCGAAATAAAAATAGTAATAATAATGCTAATGATATGAAAAAAAAATAATTATGTTACACACAAAGATATCAAAACTAAACTAATATTCAGAAAGTTTGAACCTACATCATCTAGCCCAGCATTTCTCAAACTTTTTGCTCACATGACCCAATATATTTATTTGTAATGATTCCACAGCAGTAGTTGTTATTCAACACTCCCATATAGCATCTACAATCTGTCACTGCTTTGCATCAATTTTTAGGTTAGGTCAGAAACTTTTCATCCAAACTCCATATAAGTTTATTTCATATTCTTTGATAAACAGATTTCATAAGAAAATTCTTATAAAATCTGTTCATCATAAGTTTGAATTTCTCTGTTTATCTTGTATATTATGAAATGATTTAAAATTTTTTAAATTATTATTTCAATAAGTTTATCACAGAAGTATATAAAATTATTTTAGTTAATTGATTAAATTATATTATTGGCTAAAATTTAAATTATAATTCAACTAGCAATTTTATTGTATTTGAAAGTATAATTACAATAAATATAAATTTACTTGAAATATACACTACTCTTATATATTAAATATCATTATCAAAACATTAGTTTATTTTACCTGTAAATAATTAAACAGAAATATATAAGCAAAGGTTGAATCCATATTGCTTCACTTGACTCATGATTATTCTTTAAGAACAAGAATGATGAATACAAAAGTATACCCATATGAATTAAAGCAATTGTTTCCACTTGAAAAACTGTAGCTTTTAAAAATCTAAAATAAAAAATTTCTAAATCACTAAACTAAAATTCAAAAATTTAGAATGTTTAATAAATAATAAGATTATGCTAAGATAATTGTATTCTCAGTAAAGATGTTTTATAAAAATATTCTTGCTTTACACCAACAAAATATTCATAAAACAGTGTGAAATATTGATATAAGTATAAAGCAAAAAATTCAAACAATTAAAATCAATAAAAATTTAAAGTAAAAAAATACAGATGCCAATAATTCTATTAATATATGTAATAAAAGTATTACCAGTACTCTGCTTTTTAATATTAAATATATTACTAAAACTAGGAAGCTTTTCATTTGACATATAAAATTATTTATTTTAACTAAAAAATTTTAAAAAATTCAAATATCTTTTCCTCCAAAAAGAATTGCTAAGAGATAGACTAAGTCAGTTCAACATTCTGCTAGATCCATCTCATAACTATATATAATACATAATTGCCAACCATCGGTGTTTGGTGCTGACTAGCAGCATTTTGTATGCTCCATCAGTGGACAGGCCTCTTTCCTTTGTCAGCATTTTTAAAGAATTTGATATTATCATATAAACACTTCATATAAATACTTCACATTGGGTCTAATACCAATAGATATGCTGAAGACATTGTATGTATTTTTTTGGAATGACTAAATAAAACCAGAATGATGTTCTCAGATTCTTTCAATTGGGAAAGAACAAAGATTAATAATTTTATACAGGAGGTGCAAAAGTAGGTATTGTTGTTTTGTGAATTACGTACCTCAAAGCCTGTTACTGGTGTGAAATTAATATCAAAAATGAAAAATTCCACAAACGTTTTTGAACCTTTCAAATGGTTCTTCTTCAGGTGGCGATGAATTTCCGTTAGAATGCCATTAAAAAAGAAAGAACATTATTTGAAATTCGAATATGTTTATCTGATGACATCTTATTAGGCATGTGCACTATAGAAGGTAGCGACTGATGATAATTTATAGTTCTTTATCAATTAGTGCTTGCCATGCTATGGACAGATTTAATTCTTCTTTGTGGTTAATACAGTTGTTGTTAAGACTTTATTTGTAAATATATATGGCCTCCAACCACCTTAGGTGTTCCATGTGTGTTGAGGTGCAGATAATTCTTGCCTGGTTAAAATCCAGCTCTATGTTGGGGCCACTGGTGTAAGTAGCAAGCACAGTGGTGTTCCTGGCATGCTGTATGTCTGCTATGTGCTCTTTTATTCTAATCCCCAAGGAGCGCTTCGTAGAACCAATGTAAATGAGTTCTCTATCGCATCTGAGATCTTTAATTGGGATGTTGTAGATTCTGGGGAGTCTGTCCTGGCTAGGAACGTTCTTTCCGTTACGAAGGATGTCAAAAATGGTTGGACATCTTTTGTATGCAATGCAAATGTGGCATGTCTTAGCTATCTCCATATATATTGACTTGAGATACGAGTTGTAAATGACTGGGATCCTTTCTTCATCATCAGGTCTCTCTTTGTCATGTGAGTACTTGAGTGCTTCCTGGGAGCGGTGAAACTTGTCGATTAATTTATGGGTGAGCTTGGGGTACCCATGGTCCATGGCTATGCGATGAGTACATCTCAGTTCAGCATGAAGAGCTTGCTGCATGGACAAGTGAGTGTGTGCTCTTCTAATTAAGGCATTATACGTAAAAATTTGAGTATAAGAATAAATGAAAACTGCTTGAAAGTATTATAAATAGATTTCCAAAAACCAAAAGTATTTTAAAATTTAAGACAAAAATAAATTATAAGTACAATTGTATAAGTATTAGAATTAGATAAAAATTGAATAAAAAAGATCTGGAGAACTTTATTAATAATAATTTCTTAAATATAAAAATAATAATTACTATAACCTGAAAATTCATTAATAATGAGTTTTAAGAAAAGTAAAATTATTGATCAATTATTCAGTCATTAGTTGGCATTCAAACTATGTGAGAATATGCTAATTAGCACGGTACTACACAGTAAAAGCATAGAGATGATACAAGAAGATGTACGTGAAGATACATCTGTTTGTGCTATATGGTGTGGCTACATGCCATATTTTAAACCGTATTTTCAACCGTATATATATATATGTATATATATCTTCACTTCACCTTCGTCTGTCCTATTTGTTTACTCTTCTAGAATCTTATCGTCTTCCCATTGACTTTAGTGTATGGGTGAACTGAGATGAAAGGAATGAATGGAAGGCTTTTGAGAGGGGACATGAGTGGACTGAGGTGAGGGGAAGAACGAGGGGAAGTTAAGAAGGGGGAGAACGAAGGGAGTGAGTGGAGAAGAAAAACGAGGTCAGATTGGAAGTGAGAGGAGAAGGGAAAGGACGGGAGATGGAGAGGAGGGAAGTGGATAGGGGAGATCGTAAGGAAAGCCACCCCTGTAAGTTGGACATTGTATGGTGAGACGAAAAATAGATAACTTTAGAACAAGAGGAAGAAAAAGGAACTTAAATGAGAGGAACCAGACGGATTGCCCCTTTGGATTAATATCTCAGTGTGAAACAAGAATTGAGTGAATCAGCCCCTCCCCCCCAGACCGACGAGAAGCCTCATCCACGAACTTACACAATTCAACCTGCATCATCAAGTTTTGGATACCCTCTTTCCTTATTCTTTTCTTTCACCTTCTAAAACTTCGAATAAGCCGGCTATATTCATTTAGTTTAAGTAGTGGTAGGAACCTAGCATTAAATAAGATAATTTTAATTAGTTGGATGTTCGGTTCAGAAAAAGGGACAACTAGAATTGTTGGTATCCTATGAAATCCTGTATTTGAACTAGCGAGTTGATAAATAATTATGTTGTATGTTATCTAATCTGTATTGTGTGCCTTTATATAACTCGCAGAAATCACAATGGTTTTATTAGATTTTATCAATGGAAAAAACAGATACGTTGTCTCCATTCTAAAATGCTTACCATAATGGTTTAACTTATTGTGAATTTCTAACAAATGACAGAATTTGAAATGTAAAATTTGCATCAATGGCCTATTGCTCTTTGAAACAGAAAAAGAGACATGAGAACACTAACAGCACAAGTATAAATATGTAAAAACATAAAGCAAATAGGTGGACAGAAAAAATTCCGTAATGACAGTACACCTACCCTTCAAGTGTGTTATTATGGCAGTCCAAAAGAAGGAATAAGCGAAGGTACATTAATAGTGTGTTTATATAGATTACATCAATAAACGTGATGTAATAATCAGTATTGTAATTGTAGTTTCTACAATTTGTTCAAATAGATAGACAAGAATAATAACTGTGTAAGCCATATATCTATTGTGTTCATATTTAATAGTGTTTGGTTTAAAAGATTGTGATCAACAAATATGTCTTGTAAACTAACTGTACCAGTTTATAACTGGTACAGTTAATTTACAAGACATACCTGTAAAGTGTTTATTGTCTTTTTATGAACTCTGTGTATTTTTATAACTTTTTAGTTGACTAAAGAGAGGCAATTCAAGCCCAAAATGTGTATCCAAAAAAGCATGTATCAACTGATTTGGAAATAAAAGGATGAAGGAATGCCAAGTGATTGATTAATTACACTACATAGTGTTTAAGCAACAAATAAGAATTACGACACGGTTTCAGATTGGCAAATGGTTGATAACCTTACCTTTGCCTCTTTCAGAAATCCTGCCTCTGTTAAACATTTTGTTTAAGCATTATAAACAATAATTATTACACAATCTATCAAAATATAACATAAATAATAGCTTTGCCAAATATCCTTACATTAGATCATCATCGTTTTAAACAAATGAAGAAAAATATATATAACTGTACAATTATTATTATTTAAATATATACTTACATTTCTATTGAGGAAATTGTTTTCTTTTCAAAGAGTAATTTTTCTGATATAATGGTAAGTGCAAAACTACCAATTGCAAGTGCGTTGAATAAAATTTTTGTTAAGTTTGCAACTGACGAGATGATAATCATACACAAGGCGATTACAATTGCAGAAGTATTGAGAGTACAGTTTAATAAAAAATAAAGTGAAATTTTGCCAAAGATATATCCAAATATTGGGCTCAGTGTTGTGGAAATCATGGTTAAAATTGTATATTGTTCTGAAATAATAATAATAATTATAAAAAATACTACTACTACTACTAATAATAATAATAATTAGTAGTAGTAGTAGTATTTTTTATTACTTTTATATACTATATATAGTATTATTTATTATTATTATATTTATTCTATCCTACAAATAAATATGAAAAATAAAATTTCAATTAAACTAAGCACTCCTTAAATAAAATCAAATAAAAATGTTTAAATTTAATCTTTTGACATTTGTACTCCATTTCTAACAAAAATAATTTATTTTTATGATAAATTAGAATAATTATATCTTTTTGGATTCTATTTACTGCTCTTTCAGGAAAAGAATATGAAAATCAGTCTTCGAAATCATTTCTTCATTATGTGAAAGTTTTATAGATTAAGAAAATTGCATTTTATGTATTCCCATCCCTAATAAATGGCTATATATTATTTACCCAAAAAAGGATAACAACACATTTTAAAATCTAAAAAATAATTTTTACACTTACCCAGTACTTTTTGAATATTCTATACATTTTCAAATGTTAAAATATAAAAGTCATCTAATAAAAAATAATAATCTAATAAAGAATTGATTTCATAATTTCTTTTCATTTTTTTCCTGAAAAAACCACATACACATGCATATAACTTATGTATATATTGTTGAGAATGTAAGAATTAAAATTATTTAATTAATGATATAATATTTATATATGTAATCTATTATATAATGATTGTATTATACTTTCATTATACGATAAAAAGTTAGCAGTGCCAGCAACTATCTCTTGAGAACACTAGTCATAGATACTTCCTTTTTTTTTTATTCTCTCTTTTGACCTTGACCTTCTGTGATTAAGGTTGAGCAAAGAACAAAAGATCACTTTTTTGTTATTTGTTCACTTAAGTAATTTAACATGTTAAGGTACAAGTGTTATGTCTGTTTAGCATATGCTACACCAAAAGTGAGTGCCAAGGCATCCATTCCAAAGATGCATCTGTATTGTTCGCCACTTGGCAGATGCTGATATTATAAAACAAACTATTACTATAACAAACAAGTCTTACAAGTTATATGTTTAACTGCCAACAATCTGCCAAGTGGCAAACAGTAGAGATGCATCTTTTGAATGGATGCCTTAGCACTCACATACTATATATCAGGGGTGGGCAAGCAAGAGTTCAGTGGGAGTGGAAATACAGTATAGGTTTTTCAAAATGCATGGGAGCCACAGTTCTGTACTTTTTTATTCTGTACCACAGTTCTGTACCACAATTTTATTATATAATATAAATATAATATAAAACAAATATTGAATTTTTTTAATAAAAATTTTATAAATTAAATATATTTTGTAAGAATAAATTTGTTGTATTTATTACACTGAAGTAACTACAGTCTACACATGATGAGATGGCTTTATAGTTCTTAAAGTTCTATATAGAAATCATACTATGGTATATGGAATACTCCATATTTTAGAGTAGCTGGAATTTTTGCTTATTTGCTTCAATATTTATTATTCACTAACTTGAAGATAACTGTTATGCATTGACAACACTATTGCCTCGGAGTATGGGGTATCTGATCAGTGTCTTACATAAAAGAAATGCAATAAAGGCAATTGTAAAGAGCCATAGACTTGTTCTTTTTTATAGCAGTTAAGACATAATATTTGGTGATGAGGATCGGATCTGATTTTTTGCATAAGCACTGCATTTCTGTAAGTCTTTGGGTTACGTTAATATGTCAAATTTTGAGAGTATTGAAGAACTGAACTCTAATACACCGGGTTCTTGGAAGATGTATGAAGAATGCTTGGAGGTCTATCTACCAGCAAATAACATAGATGATGAACAAAGAAAAAATGCAAATCTTTTAACAGTAGTCAGATCACAGACTTATGAACTAATTAGGTCATTAGCTGCCCCAAAATTAGTGAATGATTTAAAATATGAAGAAATAACTGGATTGTTAAAAAAAACACTTCAATCCTGAACCTAATGAAATAGCACAAAAATTTAATTTTATTAAGTGGAATCAGTTATCAAATGAGACAATTTCATAGTATATAGCAGAACTTTGTCTTCTAAGCAAACATTTTAATTTTGTATATTAAGATATAGACTTGTACGCAGCATTCATGAAGAAAGTCTTAAAAAAGATTGTATTGGAACAGACATTAACATTTCGCACAGCCCAGAGAATTTGTCTAGCAAATGAAGTAGCATACTGAGCTATGTCTACTATTCAAGGCCAGAGTTCCACAGTTAATAAGTTACATTCTAAGAGAAGAATGTTAAAAATGAACAACAAATCAATTAATGTCAGGTATTATAGATGTTTAGGAGACCATTTTGCTTCTGATTGTTTATTTAAAGACAAAGTTTGCAGAAGTTGTAATAAAAACACCATATATTTAAAAGCGTGCAGAAATAAGGAAGGAGAAGCTACTATAAAATGCCATCACAGCTCAAAGAAATTCCAAGTGGGAGCCTTTCAATTTCCTTTTTTCCATGTCATCAGAAAAAGTACTCTTAAACATGAGTCAACCAGTACAAAAATCATTTTGCCTTTAAAAGGACCTGCTAGATCTATGTATAACCTAGACCAGGGTCTAGAAGGCCAGATCCATGGGTGAGGAGGTGTATTCCTCAGATTATTTCTTCTTTGTTTATTTGTTGCTGCAAATATAAATGAGATTTTACATTTTTAAATTCACATATTATATGTGTGCTCTTCCAATTTGCAAACATACAGCACCGTTCACATGGAAAAAAGTTGATGTACAAGGCTGAAAAGTTTATATTTAAAAAAACAGCCATTTCATTTGCAATGACCCAATACATCTGTCATATTAGATCTCCTCCTTATAACCTGTGATGAATGGTCAAGCAAAGCACATCATCCAAACTGTAAAGAATCTGTTCAGACAAAATAGGAGGGAAGAAGACTGGAAAGTATATTTATTACATATTCTTCTCACCTTGTGAATGGTGCCTCACTTGGAAACAGGAAAATCCCAGAAGAACTTTTAATGAACAGGAAATTGAAGACTCTCCTAGATTGATTACATCCTGATCTAAATTTGGAAATGCATAAAAATCAAAAGTCCAAACACCTCAATGCTGCTATGCCCCATCTGGAAAGGAAGATAAGTGATCCTGTGTTTTATAGAAATTATAATGACAAGGATCAAAAGTGGATGGCTGGAACTTTTGTTAGCATGTCAGAACTAGTGACTTGTGAGATATCTACTCCTGAAGGTGATGTATTGTGACAACATCAAGAACAAGTAATTCCTCGTTCCTTACCAAAGGATACAGATACTGAGGACATAAACAGTAAATTGACATTCCTGACGGAACAAACACTCAGTGAAAGATAATGCATATGTACTATCAGCCAAAATATCTTGAAGATTTTGTAATTATCTAAGAAGGAAGAAATCTTATGTATTGGCAACATCATTCCCTCAAAATTTGGAGTATAAAAAATTGGCTAACAAAGGAGCCCACTGTTCTTTGTCTAGTCAGTATCCTACATATAAATGAAGTGCAATTGTAAGGAGCCATAAACACTTTTATTCATAGTAATTAAGATATAATATAGATGAAGTAAGTACAAGTAGAAACAAAACTTCATAACAAACAAGAATTTAGTGAATCAATTGATTAGTTAGTTGATGTAAACTGTATATGTTTTTCCCCTGAAACAAAATACTATGATTGTCTTGAATTAAATTATTTTTCAAATCATGAAATGACAACAAAAAAGAATATCTTGTCTTAAACATTTAAGATTAAAGAACATTTATTAATAACTTGTAAAGGCTTTAAATGTCTTTTCTCATTATAGCAAAAACAAATAATCATCTTAATTTTAACTTAGTTTTGTTAAATTATAAATAAAAAATAATGAAACTAACCACTACTACAATTATAAACTCTTTGACCAGTTAATAATATATCGTATGCAATCAAACTAAAAAGCCTATTGAAAAATACTTCTCCAGTTGCCAAAGTATATAAACATTCTGCTGCACCTGAAAAAATTTTAAATTTTATTATTTTTGATATTTATATTAAAATATTATAACATGAAAAAACTTTAAAAACTACAATAATTAACTGTAATTTCTAATTTCAACATTTGATAATTTTATGAATTAATCCATTTTTTATATGAGGAATATATGAGAGATGATCAAAAAAATAAATTCATAACATTAATAAATCAAAGATTTTAGTAAATATGCACATTTTGACAATTTACAATGATGATGATAGTTTTCAACATAATGGAAGCACTTGTTACAGTATATGAAAGTTATTCATCCTAGATGCATGTTTGTAAGTGGAACAATGTTTAACAAATGCACTTTTAGAACAGGAAACAAAAAAATACTGGATGCAAATGTGGATTGTATAATAAGAGTCTAATGTTTCCCAACAGAAATATTGCACAAGTTCTGAATCTACTATTGTATATCATAACTGGTCTGATATTATCCTAGACAGCAATCATATTATCGCAATGAAGATCAGATTTATTTCCCAAATGGTTCACCAAATTGAATTGTTACAGTTATGCATCATCTGGCATATGTCTTGAATTATTTAACTGTGGACAATATAATCTTTTCTTTTATCTATCAATAACATTTGAAATTTCAATAAATTCAGTGTCTTAAATGATAGGATTTATAAACTTAATTTCTAATCGACTAATGCATAATGTAATGCCATTCTTAAAATAAATGATGTAAAAAAGTTTAATTTTTCAAAATGATCATATAAGATCATTTTGAAAATATATATTCATGATTGAATATTAATTCGTAGATTAAAAGCATTAGTATACTATTAAAGAAGGTGTAATTCATAAAGCAGGTGATGAAGAGGTGGTCTAACAGATCTGATCAGGCCATTCAAAAAGCACTCCCAATGTTTAATGGAAGGTTGTTTGCAAATCATTAAAGGAAGCAAGATAACACTTCTGCCATCTTAGACCATTGATGGTTGGGTAACTGAGGCAAAGGCATAAACATGCTGCTCTAAGGGACCCAAATTCAATCAGGTTAACTCAGAAATTTCATAGCTGAATTAACTAAAATATGTCAGGTTTCATCTTTCACAACTAGTGTGCTGGTCAAACCCACAATGAATATGAGAAAAGGTGTATTTTTAATGTTTTTAAAGTAGAGAGTTAAAAATTATAAAAATCTCAGACTATCTGGCTGCATATAAATTCATATACTTGAAAGAAGAAATCTTTATGGGTAGATTGATCTGGAGCTTTGGGCTCCTTCTTCACCAAATGGCTACACCCATTGTAAGCCTGGCCAAACCTATAATAAGCATATCAAAAAATTCCTCTTAGTGCCCACAGGGTACAAACTTAAAAAAACAATTACATGCAGACCTTTAATGGCTATGAGATGGCTAAGTCCTCTCAGCTTAGTCAGTAGTGCCTATATGCAGTATGCATAATATATGCTTTTGCTTTCATCACATTAGTGTTACTTTTACACTTAAAGTGTAGCTAATAGCTCTAGTGCTGGCTGAAAAAAAAATATCAATTACAATCTTTTCAGTTTCCAGTTTTCTAGTCTCCCAATTATTTAATCATGGCTACAGAATTGATCATATGTAAACAAATATAGTCAGTTCTCAATAAAGTAAGCCTATTTGTTCCAAACCAGTGGCGTGCCGTCATTAGAAGCGGTGGATGCGCCGCTTCCCTTGTATTTTCTAAAAAATAAATACATATTAATTTTAATTATATGAAAATAATCGCACAATATTTTATTATAACCGCATTATGTATCTTATTCTGGAGCATAAGCAAGAAAACCCAGCGTAACTATCTCCACCAACTCATCATGGACGAACTGAAGAAAAACAAAAGCAACCTCGTATACTTTTCGTGGACCCGCGCCCATCAATGTGTAATAGGAAATGAGGAAGCAGATGTGCTGGCTAAGGAGACAGCCACTTCTTCTGTTACACCAAGCTTCGATGACATCCCAACGGTGGCTATCAAGAATCTCATTAGAGAAACGCTCATCCACATGTGGCAGAGGGAATGGGAAGAAGCGGACACTGGTAGGACTACCTTTAAATTCCTGCCTAACATTCCCAACCGTCTCTCTCTCAACCACATAAATGGCAACTATTTCACCAGCCAACTCCTCACTGGCCATGGGAACTTTCGCCAATATCTCAATAGATTCCACCACAGCGATACCCCCTTCTGTCAGTGTGACAGTGGCGATATAGAGGATCCCCTGCACTTCATCTTTGATTGCAACCTCTATGACACACAGAGGGATCAACTCATTCACAAAGCCCTCACTGAAGGATTCAACTGGCCCTGCACGCCCGATCTCCTCATCAACAACAGTGCCACCTACAATGGACTTACCGATTTTATCCGGGAAACCGGCGCTTTAAATCCAAACTTCACCAACCGGAATCAGACAAGGGACTCTTCACACGACAGTTGACCTCTACACCAGGGGCCGCGTTATAACCGGCAAAACATGCACCCGTTTGTAACTATCACCATTTTCAACTCCGGTATTTATATTTATTCTATAACCACAAAGCTTTTCTTTCATATGTAACGCGCCATAATTACGTGTACACTCTTTCTTTTTGCATACCGCACATGTATCCACCTATTTATATTACTGCGTTGTTCGCGCTGACGATTTCTCTCATCTTCACCATCTTTCCTATCACACTTCTACCCCCCTTATCCATTACCCCTTCTCCCTTTTTCTTTTCACCCAGGCGATACCCCTGAGTAGTCCTGGTCTTCCGCCCCTTTCATTAAAAATAAAAAAA